TTTTCACCAAAAAATTAGTGATTAGAATCAGATGAAGAGGTTATTTGTAAGTTACATGCATGCACGTTCAGGTTTAAAGTAAGACTTTACAGGCCTTTGATAAATAGACTTTATTAATCTTTCACTGGGTGAATTCAATAATTACAGCAGCACAAGGCCGAGGAAGAAAAAGTCCATTAGAAATTTATTAGAAACCAATAAAAATTGCAAAATTAAAAAAAAAAAAAAAAAAAGACAGGTTACAACAAAAAGTGCAAAAATGAATCAAATACAAAGGTAACTTGTACTATATACACGCGGTACAATATGCACGATAATATTTATTCGTGCATATTTTTATGCACCTAAACTGCAGCAGAATGATACACGTGTGTATTTGTGGTTGTATGTTGGTCCAGCTGCTGTGACGTCTTCACTTTGTTATTATTTAGCTTTGGATGAGAGCCTGGAATGCTAAGCTATCAGCTAACGTTAGCTTGCTTGGATAGCTTCAGCGCTGATACCTGCTGATCTGTGCTAACGGGCTGATAAACAGTGCTGCAGTTTAACACTGAGCACAGACCAGACTGTCAGTACAGTTAGCCTTACAGGAAGTGTCAGATTAATGTGTAGAAAGATGCTCAAAGAGGTAGCAGTGAGTTGTGGCCCTGCACAGTTGTTATTACAGGAAACGAAAGCTACAGAGACACTAAACATATTTTGACGTCATCAGAACATGTTGGTCATGTTAGCTGGTTAAAGTCTGTCGGGGTTGACTTGCTTTCAGAGTCTCAAGTGGCCGTTAGTGGAACTGCAGCAGTTTTCTGTTTGTCTACATTCTTTAGTCATCGATGTTATTAATGACATTTTAATTTTATCACTTACTAAAAATAACAATGTAACAAGTACTTTACTGGATTAGAGTCACTTTCATTGGACGTCTGATGTTTGTCTGCTACTTTATTGCAACTTGTTACATTTACCTTTGATCTCACTTGTTTCTACTAAAGCTCCAATAATATGCTTTAAGACCTCCTACCAAAAACGTTATTTATGTCATTAACAGGTCATGTTATTATATTTATGATGAAAATTACAGTCTCTACTAACGGCTGTCTAGTTATTTCAGAACAATAAATGACACTCAAAAACATGTTTAAAACCAAAATGTTGACTTTAAGAAACTGAAAAACGATTACGTGTAAACAAAGTAAAATGGAAATTTATCCAGTCCAACTGGATGTAAACTGAATGTTTATCAATCCAGCATAGTTACCTTAAAGATGAATTATTTGACTGAATCAACCTTTGATTTTCTATATTTCAGTGACATTTTACTCAAAACGATTGCTTCATGTTTATGAGGGCAAATAATCATTTTTTGAGTGTATTCAGCTGCTCGTGCTGGTTGAAGGTCATCGTGCTGCTGGAAATCTGCTGCTGCTGCGTGAGATATAAATGCTGTACGTTATAAATACATTATCACTACTGACCCGCGACATCAAAAGCTTTGAAATGAGACTTTTCAGTTTAGACAGCAGTCAGTGTAACAGCCCCACCTCTGAGTGGCATCAAAATACACGAAGTATGTTAAGTGGTTTGTATAAGTGAGCCACAAATAAACTGAGAGGTGTTGATATGAATATTGAAAAACGTTGCGTCTGTGAACTTTTCTCCTACGAAACGCTGAAGATGTCCAGATGAATCAACGTTGGGGGGTTTCCTCGCCTGGTTGATCGAGCGCAGGATTATAAACCAGCTCCAACATTTGTAAAACTGTAACGACCGTTTCAAAGCTTCTCCCGGTTTCAGATGTGTGACGCCGTCCGTTCACATCGTCTTTGAAATCGGTTTCAAGGTTTTCAGGACTTTTGCTGATCGTGTCACTCAAAGGCCAAAAATCTGGAGCTGCCGGCGTGCGCAGCAGCTCTGTTTCGTACACGCACGGACGTGCACGTTCATTCACGCCGTGAGCGCCTCCCGAGCGTGTCAGTGCTGCCAGTCTGGGGCAGCAGGCTGATGAAGCAGCAGATAGAAAACCTTTAAACTGAACACACAGAGAGACGCACGGTAAAGGCGTCCTGCCATCGTCACGCAGAGGAGAGTCAGTCCAGTCTGTGCCAGCAAACCTCTCCTCTGTACTGCTGCCTGTTCGCCACAGGAACTCCTGCTCTGTTCATCCATCTTTCGCTCCTCCTACACTCCTGTTTGACTCGCTGTACGAGTCGCTCGCTTGTTTTCCTCTTTATTACAGCCATAATGTTCTGTGCAGAAATGCACAATTCTTAATCCCTGCACTAATTTCCCTTAAATGACAATTTCAATAACCACACGCGACCCCTCCTCTCTTGGTATCATGTTTATTTAAGCCAATAGCGTAGCCGCCACCCACCACAGGTGAGCAGGTAAAAAGCTTTCGTCTCATCTTTCCTCAATGATTTGAAACCTGGTCGGCCGCAGGAGATTTTAGATTATTGATGAGGCTCCTCAGCACATTGTGAATGAAAGTGCTGGTGTAACAGTGCACCGACAAATATGGGCGAGGCAGCGTGGTATCGGTGTTTATAATCGTGCATTCATTACTGCTAATGTGGCTGTGATGGCAGCGTAATCAGAGTCCTAATTGAGAGTCATTATAGGGAAGCTGGTGCTGTGTTCTCCTCACAGATGGTTTATGTCACTGCTGCTTATTAAGCACTGGGTTGTAATAATCACATCGTGGGGAAAATGACTTCATCTTGTTATGCTTCACATTAAAAACGGAGCATCCTATTGGTGCAAATTTGAATATCATGATTTTAGGCCTATAGAGACAAAGGGCAATGTTCTAACCAGGTGGCTTTCTTTGGCGTTTCTTTCAGGTGTGGGAGTGGCTGCTCAGCTTAATCCGGACAATCTCACGACGCTTGGCCGAGGAGTGGAACGAGCCCATAAAAAGATTCTGCCAATCTGCTGAACGAAGACGCTCTTCATTTGTGACCGACAGCCTGACGCATCAGAGAAACATTTTCTACCTCTCGCTGCTTCTCTGCTTGTCAAGAAGGGCGTTTTTCTGAAGCGATCACCCCAGAAGGAGGCGCCGGAAAGGAGTGGCGTCAGCGTTTGACAGCTCTGACCCACTTATCACGCTGGTCGAAGGGAAAACTTAGCATTTAGCAGACAGCTTCAGGAAAGGTTATGCATTGTTTTATATTCAGGGCCACTGAGCAGCTGACCTCCCACTCTGATTAGCTCCACAGCCACACATGTGCCCACACAGACGCGCACACACCGGGCTGCCGGCCGCTGCAGGTGCTTTAGAGCGCCGCTCGTGTCTGCGTTTCACTTTAGCGTCACAACACGGAGACGCGCTGAAACAGCTGAACCCAACTTGGTGTTAGAAGTCCATCTGCGCGCTATTAACTCCCTGAGAGCACGCTGACCTTGACCGCCATCAGTGACGTTTGCGTTAGCGGGAGGCGGTGTCACGTCCTGTCTGCTCTGTGAGAATGAGAGCTGGTGTGGCTCCGATAAACACTCTAAAAACATGAGCGCCGGAGGGCAGGCGCTGAAATAGGAACGGCTGAGCGTCATTAGACTTTTTAGGCAAATGTGTTACACAAAAAATAGTCCTTATTAATTGAAAAGTGTGTGTTTGACACACTGTCAGAACACATGCGAGTCAAAGCTGTCTGGGTCATGTCACTTTGACTGGCCTACATTTGATCCAATAAAGTGGCGACCATGGGACTGCGTTCATCGTAGACGAACGGTGCGGTCCTCTCGCTCGGTAACTATTCTTCTAAAAATAAATAAACAGGGTCTGCAATATTAAACTTTCCTAAATGAACGCCTTCCCTTCCTTCTCCGCACCTCCACCCAACACACCAACCATCCAGTCAGTGTGTAAGCCCTGTCTTCGGGCCCCGTGGAGGATGAACGATGTGCCCACGCTTGACTACGAGTTGCTGCTGTCCCCAGCCAGCTCCTCCCTCACCGGCAATCATGGCGGCGGCAGCAGCAGCCCTCCTCTGGCCTTGGTCGGGGTGGACACGGAGCAGCGTACCGCTCTGGCCTTTGTAGGCCTCCTCATGCTCTTCTTGGTCTTCCTGCTGGTCAGATGCTTCAGGATCCTTCTGGACCCCTACAGCCGCATGCCTGCATCATCCTGGACTGACCACAAGGAGGGGCTAGAGAGGGGTCAGTTTGATTATGCACTGGTGTAGGGGGACACGGCGTGTCATTGCACACAGACACTGTTTTAAAGCACGGACTGGTTTAGAGGGACATAACATTGTGACTGCACTGCTTAAGAAGGACGTCAACTATTGCAGGAAGTTTGTACTGTGTCACTGTCATCGTGTACTGGTGTAAATACGCGGCTGCAGGACCACAGGTAACCATAACGACTGTGGTTCGACATGAGGCTCGACGCACAGCTGCCTTAACCAGACCTACAGGGGAAACATGCTACCCAGGCCACAGCATCACTTTAGGGCTAGCTGGACAGGATTTGGGAAATATTCACTCACAACTAACCTCAAAGCTAGATTTCTTTTTTAAACCCACTCCACTTGCATAAACACTAGGGGTGCAACGATACACAAAATTCACGGTTCGATATTTTTTCGATACAAAAAAAAAATGTTCATGCTTTTTTAATTTGTCATTTATTAAAATTATAAATATATATTTTA